AAATACTTGGAAGACTTCTTGCAAGCTATCGAAAAAGAGTTCAAAACACTAAACATTTTATCTTCTTCAAAAAACTACGACCACCTCAACAAATATTAAAACAAATGGTCAGATACAATCAAGAAAATCACCAACTACAAGATTCAAACAATGCTCAAATCCCCTAAAGCATTTTATGCTTTCTTCTCAAAAGTGACTAAATTACACTTAGCACTCAAAACAATTAACAATATACTTCATACCTTCTGCTCAGTACAACTACCTAATTCAATACCCTTTATGACACTAAATATCAATACTTTACTTACCAAAATCAACTCTCTAACAGAAATGCAGGTCATATTCTGCCAACCCTCTGCCCTAACTTCAAACTATACACACTTTCTTACAGGTTTAAAGAATCTAAAAAATACAATATAGAAAGCACAAAGCATTAAAACAAGAGCAGCACAAAGAGAAAAAATTAATTTTTAAATACAACAATGCTATAATAATATAGAAACAAATACCTAAAGGATGATTAACAGCATACTTAACTGGCAAAAAGCAAACATCTCTTATAACAAAATAATTACTCCTGACAAAATAATTACAGATCTAAAAAAAGTAAAGCAAGCAACACAAGACCACTTCAACAATTGGTCAAAATTTAATTTGACAAACCCAAATTTTAAACATGAGAGGACACCCTATCTACAACCCCTGCCAAACCTCTCCCCAAATATCTATAACAATTTTATCAAACCTATAACCCAGAGTAAACTATCTAATATTATCAGTACCTCTCCTACTCAGAAAGCTATAGGTCTATCCGGAATATCTAATGAAATGATTAAACACTTACCTCATATTGCAATATCCTTGCCCCTTTTAATTTTTAATACATGTCTAAAGCTAGAACAAATACCAAAAGGTTGGGAAATAGCTAATATATGGGCTATTCCAAAAAAACAACACTACAACAATGACTTAAACTATACCCACCCAATTACACTTATTAAACACACTCTAAAAATTTTCTCCAAATTACTTACACTTTAACTAAGCCAGATACTTACTTAGCACCAAATCCTCTCAAAGAACAATAATGTAGCCCTCCCATTCACTTCAACCCTTCAACCTATTTAAACTATAATACATATTATTGAATATGCTAATATCACAAATAAAGAATACTAGCTTCTAGCACAAGACATATAAAGGCTTATAATACCATCTACATACCACTCTTTACCAAAACTCTGCAATGTTTTTATATCCTACAAAAATTTATCAATCTACTAAACTATCTTCTTCATAGTAGGAAAAACACTGTAATAATAGATATAGGAAGAACAGAACCTTATGAAGTACAGGATGGAATTGACCAAGGAGAAATTTTCTCCTCAATACTTTGGAGAATCTACTATGACTACCTAATCAGCTGAATTGATATGACTTTCTAAGATTATTTGCTAAACACAAACACCCCTGACAACACAATAGCAACTCATGCCTCCGTAGTAGCATACATGGATAATACAGTCTGAATTGCCAAAAACAAAAATGAATTACAAGACATATTGTCAAAAAGTTAGACAATCACCGTAGTAATTACTATCTGGCCCAGATGGCTTTGATTTAATTTAAATCTCGCTTGGCACTTGAGATGCAAACTATACTACACACACTGTACTTCGAATTATGTAAGTATTTACTTTATAACAACGCTTGCTCAATTTCTAGTCAAAGAGACTAACCATATTTCTTTATTTTTCATTCATTATTTATCTAATTCTAACAATTATATAGTTTGTACTACACTTTTAACTATTTCTTTGTCATTAATCTATTAAACTTTTAATTATTCCCCAACTAATCGTCATATTCATGCATTCAGCGATCATAGTACCTATTGTACCTGATCCTGATTATGCTGCCCCACACTTCAATTTTCCTCCATGACTCCAATCGATTACATGATTACATGAGTCATTTGAACCACATTTCTGTTGCACCTTTTCATCTTTCAACCCATTATACACTTCATTATCAATTTGCATCCCTTTTACAAGGTATAAGGGCTCTGTGAAAACTATGCAACATGAGCTGGACTCCTATTGGTCCTCGTCCTCGAGGGCCATGCCCTCTTTGTTCAATTCTTCTTTGGTCTGATCCAGAGATTCCCTTTTCCAGGGTATAGTTTTTTTACTCTATTCCTCATCACCAGATCTCTTAATTCACACCTATCTAATTCATTCATATACACCTGACCATATTTTCCTATACTCCTTACTTGGTAAGGCCCCATCTATTGATAATCCAGCTTTCGGGGTGATATTTCTAATGTCGAATCGTATACCAGAATCTGATACCCTTCTTGGTAGATCTCTTTCACCTTTGCCTTTTTATCATACATTTTCTTCCATCATTGTTTTATTTCATCCTTTTCAATTTGTGCACTTTTCAAATCCTCTACCATTCTTTTAATCTGTTTGGATCGGTATTCCAACAATTCATCTATCGACTATTCCTTCCTTGCAACATATACTTGATAACTTTCCAACATTAACTGAATTGGTGTGACTGCATCACATCCATAGACAAGTCTGAAAGGTGAGTACCCTAAGTCATTTACTGTAATGTTCATGGCCCAAATTGCACTTCTCACATATTCATGCTACTTGTTCTGCTTCTCAGCACATACTTTCCTTATGATTCAGGTGAATTTTTGTACTATATGTTTAGCATGTCCATTTGCTTCAAGGTGGTAACTTGCCACAAATCTCAGATCTATATTTAGCCATGTTACTAACTCATTCAACAAGTTGTTCTTAAATTTGGTACCTTTGACTAAAACTAATACTGCAAAACATCCATGTCTTGTAATAACTTCATCCCAGATGAATTGGGCTATTGTATTAGCATTCTTTTTCTTCAATACTTTTCCTTCTACATATCTAGTTAATTCTTCAACCACCAACACTACATGCTCATGACTACCAGATGTTCTGGGCAATGGCCCTAAACAATTGATATACAGTTTGTGAAATATCCAACTTGTCTCAGTCACGTGAATTAGTTCCTTCACCGTTTTCACAGCACATTTTTGACATTCAATACAGATCTTTACAAACTTTTTTACATCTTTATACACATTATCAGAAGCCCAACAGTAATTCATCAATACTTTTCTGGCTGTAGCATTGATTTCGCAATGCCCTTCTTCTTTAGCAGTCCCACGATAATTTGCCTCTAGGATTTGGTATTTTTCATATTCAGTAAATATCACACATTTTGGTAGGATGCCACCTTTTCCTCTTTTGTACAAACATTTACCAATTATACAATAATGTTTCATATTCTGTTGCAGTCAATATTGATCAGATGACTTTACATCATGTGCCCACAAAAAATGTTTCAGATATACTTTTATCCAATCTAAATCTTATTCATTATTATAAACCCTCCTACACGTATTAGTATACCTTCTACAAATTCTTTATCATTTTCTTTCTCATCTAAACATTTCTCCAGATATCTTGATAGGTCATCAGCATTACCGTGCCTTTTTCTACTTTTATAATTCACCTTAAATTCAAAGGTTTGTAGCATTAATACCTATCGCATTAATAGCTCAGCCTTATTAAATAGCCATTCGAGTGCCTAGTAGTCAACCCATATACTAAAATTCATACTGCCGATATAATGCTCATTCGAGTTACAACCAAATACGATCGCTAAGCACTCCTTTTCCATGACCGTATAAAGGATTTTATGCTTATTTAATTTCCTCAAATTAAATGTGATTGGCCTTAAATTTCCTTCATCATCGTCTTGCTCCAAGACTGCTCCAACTGATACATCACTCATATCTGTATACAAATAATATAGCTTTTCTCTACTCTTTGTGCCTTTCCAATCTGGTCCCTTTAACACCACTTCCTCTAACAGTAACCTTTTTAATGCCTCAAATAATTCTTTTTGTTTATTTCCCCAACAAAACTTACAATGCTTATTCATCAGATCTGTCAATGGCTTTGTGATTTTACTAAAATTCCTTATAAAATGACGGTAGTACCTTACAGTACTGTGAAATGATCTGACTTCTGTTTGATTCTTTGGATCTGGCCACTCTTGTATCCTTTTTAATCTCTTTTTATCTACCTTAATTCCCTTTTTACTTACTACATAACTATACATATTTAACTGTTTATATGCTATATGACATTTCTTTGTAGCGAATATGAGTTCAGCCTTTTCAAATATTTTAGCTAATTTAATAAACATATTCACATAATCTTTTAAATCCCTATTTGTCCATAACCTGACATCGTCTTGATATGCTGCAGCTATCCTTTTTCATTTTCCTTCTTTTAGAACCAAGTCCATCAGTCTTTAGAAAGTTTCACTAGCATTTTTTAGGCCTATGCAATTACAGTATATCGTAATACACCCAACATCATTGATACCGCCACTTTATCTCAATCTTCTTCCCAGATTCGTATCTGCCAGTATTCTTTGAATGCGTTGATACTCGAATACTATTCATAGCCTGCTGCTTTCTCTAGTATGTCTTCTGATTATTGGTAGTGGATAACTGTCCTTTATTATATGGGGTTGAGTCAGTAGAAATCAAGCAAATTTTTTCTAAGTAAATTTTTTTAAAAGTTTGAATAACAATAACTTAACAACAACTTAATCAAATTTAATAAATTTTTTTTTAAATGAGTTCTACAAACTTATAGAATTTATTTAAAAAAAAATTTATTAAATTTGATCAAGTTTTTGTTAAGGTATTAGTATTTAAAGTTGTTAAAAAAATTTAATAAAAACAATTTGCTTGATTTCTACCGACTCAACCTCATATACTGATTTAGTGGTTTTATATTTCCAATGGCACGAATCCGATCAGTATCATCTTCCTTTTTATCCATCAAGAAACAATAGTACGTATATAGTCCTCTCCCTTCTTCCAACAACCCATACTTTATCATTTGCTTCAAATGTTCTTCAAACAATTAAGCCTTCTCTGGATTGTTGATCCTTATAGGTCTCAATCTCATATGCAGTATTTCTATGCTTCCGGTCCTCACTTTGTATTCTACCAAATCAGTACAGCCCAATTCAGACATATCAAAAGCGAACATTTTTGACACTTCATTTACTAACTGCCCTTTTATATATTGTCTTTTTTTGGGTAAGAGTTTAGGCCTAAAATTCAGTAAATCTACATTCTCTGCTGTTAGCTTTCACAGAACCATTGGTCTCATCATCCTCAATGACATTTTAGTTTCAAAAGTTCATCTATCACGTGATATGCTTCGATCATTCTGATTTTTTGTTCATTCTTTACTTATTTTTAGGGTTTGTTTATCCTCTTTTACTATTTGAAATCTTCGCACTGCTATTACTTGATTCACTTCATCCTTATCATCATCATATTCATCTATTTCACTATCATAGATGTCTTCATTCTTTTCTATCCAACTCCAGGGCACTTCTGAGACGATAAATGACGATTGTCTTTCTGGCAATGACACCGTATACCAATACTCATTTTCTTTCCAACAGAGGTTACACTGGGCACTAGCTAAACACAGCATTCTGAGCAAAAATATCAAAACTTGCTGACCCCATTACGTAGAAACTTTGGTTAGTTTTTACTTCTTTCATCTCAATTTCTATCTGAGGTAAGTAACCTTTAAATTCGCTAATTTTATCATCTGCCATTCTTCCTTTTCTATATGCCCGATCCTATCTAAGTCTTCTCTTCTTTGCATAATTTTTATGCATAAGGTTTAAGCAGAAACCAGGGTCAATTGGCATATTAACTAGGTCTCCGTTAATCAAGCCGGTCCACATAGGTACTATTTCATTCTTATTTTCACGCATTTTTCTTCTTTTACAAATCTTAGCCTAACATCCACATTTATAACATTCTCCACTTTTCTTTTTTGCACCAATGCTTTCATTATTTCATTTCTTGCTTTGGGCAACTATTTAAATAGTTGCCCAAGTGATATATTAAATTTTAAATCGGCGATAGCTTTTAGAACGTCAAGATCTTCTGTTAATTTTGTTAATGGTATATACATAATAGAACTCTTATCATTACCCTTTTGAGTGAATGATGATGGTGATTTATCTGGTTTTACTTCTAATGTTTTTCTGGACTTTCCTCTTTTATTAGGCTTTTCATTAACTATTGGTTCATTATATTTCCTTTTTTCTAGATTCCTAATATCACCTATGCCTTGTTCTTCATCAACCAACTCGACCAACAAATATTCACCATTCTCTTTTGATTCTACATCAGTGATTTCCACTAGACGAACATCAGGGTCTTTTTGTTTTTCATTTTCTTTACTTGAACTTCATTCTTTTCTCTAATATTCTTCGAATTTATTTACGAAACATTCTTTCAACACTTTATCTGGACAGTCACATAATATGTGACCATCCTTTTGGCACGTATAACACCGAAGCCCCATACTTCAATCACTACTCTTTTGAATATTTTCTTTTTTTGATAGGTCTTTCATCACCCTAGCCATTTCTTTAATCATATCTTTTATTTCTTTAATGTCATCATTGGGTTTTTTTTTAACCCAGGAAATTTTTAAGACTTCCATTGCTTTTGTCAGATCATCAATATCCGTTTTAGTGCTTTTATTGTTTTCTTTTATTAATATGTTATTTACAGTTTGCAAGTCAAACTCATTGTCTTTATTATATCTTTCAATTTCACAGCCAGACTTGCCGCTTTGTGGTAGTCAGCTGGATAATGTTCTTCCACCTTCAATTGGTACTCCCTTTTTAGTCCCGCCAAGACCATTTCCATTTTTCTCTATCACAGATTTCATCTTTTATTATATAAGCATGTGATTCAAATCTGTTGGTATATCTAACTACAGATTCATTTTCATCTTGCTTTATCCTCATTAGCCTACGATCTTCTCTTCTATATAGAATTCATTTTTGTGGCCTTTTCCATTTCGGTTTTTAGATCTGCCCAGGTATTTGCCTTTTTCATCAACTTACATACCTATACTCTCGCTTTGTTGGCAACATGAAGCCCAATGACCTTCTTCTTCTTGTCATCGTTCCATTGTTTTGATTCAGCATATATTTTGAAGTCAAAGAGAAAATTCTCTATATCTTCATCTTCATTACCATGATAAAATGGTTTGGTGAAGTCTTGTGTTGACATGGCTGATTGTATCCTTAATAAGTTTGTATCAATATACTTTAAGTATTATATTCTTTTTTCTTACTGTCCTTATTTATCAATATTTCTTATTAATTATTGTTCTTATTAATATTTCTTATTAATTATTGTCCTTATTAATATTTCTTATTAACTATTGTTCTTATATTTTAATGATTCTTATAAATTATTGTCCTTATATCATTTTACTACTTCTTGAGTCTCTTGACTATTTTGTCTGAACTTTAACATTGCAAGGGTACTTTGCTTACCCAGATCCTTCTCTGTTAAAGAGTTAGGCAATCACCGTAGTGACTGCTATCTGGCCCAGACGGCTTTGATTTAATTTAAGTCTCGCTTGACACTTGAGACGCACACTATACAACACATACTGCACTTCAGATCATATAAGTATTTACTTTATAACAATACTTACTCAATTTTCAGACAAAGAGACTAACCATATTTCTTTATTTTTCATTTATTATTTATCTAATTCTAACAATTACATAGTTTGTATTACACTTTTAACTATTTCTTTGTCATTAATCTATTAAACTTTTAATTATTTCCCAACTAATCATCATATTCATGTATTCAGCAATCACAGTACCTATTATACCCGATTTTGATTATGCCACTCCACACTTCGATTTCTCTCCATAACTTCGATCGATCACATGATCACATGAGTTGTTTGAATCACATTTCCGTTGCACCCTTTCACCTTTCAACCTATTATACACTTCATTATCAATTTGCATCCCTTTTACAAGGTATAAGGGCTCTGCAAAAACTATGCAACATATATTAAAAATAGTTAACTCCTTCCTTTCCTTTACAAGTATCAAGATCAACCCACACAAATTGACTCTAATTTCTAACAACCCAGACCTAAACAATTGCAAATTAACCAAAGCTAAATATATACTGTTAGTTAATTTACAATCATCTGATATCCAACTTAATCAGCAGTAGTAGTAACAAGTATTTGACTGTTAAATTTTTGTTTAATTGTGCCAAGCACTAATTACTATTATTATTCTCTTCTTTTCTTTTTATTATATTTTATAATTAAAAAATCTTATTAGTAATTTATTTATATAAACTTTTTTTTTTTAAATGATTCTGTCTTTATTATTTAAAAATAGCATGATTATATATTGTGTTTTTATCTATACTAATAGTATATATTAAAGTTATTTATTTTAATAAAAACTTACTTGACCTTCAGTAAGGACCAAGTGCAAACTACTACAATAGCTTTTTTTCTTCTTTCAAGTCTCTTATCTTCTTAAAAAAGATGACTAAATATTCTTAGTTGATAGCTACCAGCCTTATTAGAATCATGTTATTATATATTTTCTTGAAGTATTTTTGGTTTAAAAAGAAATAACCAGGTTGGTTTAACATAGTTAGTTATAAGTATTAATACTATATATTTTCTGAATACTTTAGTTAACAATATTGGTCTAATATTGTTTAGATTATAGTTTTAATTTTTATTTTTTTGGTATTAGATATAGCATTTTAGCTTTTTACTTCTTTGATAATTTTTTTTTAAAGATAAACTAATATGAATTTTGCAAAAACTCTTTTTCTTTTTATTCTTGCTTGTTTTAAAATTGGGTAGCTTATACTTGAAATACCTGAAGCTGAACTATTTTTTGTTTTGCTTATTGTGTTATTCTATTCTTCTAATATAACTTCTTGTAGCAGATTATTGTATTATATAGCCTAAATATCTTCTTTTTTTGTATATATTTCTCCTCATCTTCTTGTCATATTATATGGCTTTAAATCTTATTTTGCATACTGGCTTTAAAAATATTTTTTTAATTTCATTTTTATCTTCTTCAGAGTTATATAAAAGTTCTGTATCTCCTTCTTCATCTGTAACTACTATTTTGTTTATTTTTATTTTTTTAAATGATCTGTCCAATTAGTTTGCTAGTATTTTTTTCTGATTTTTAACTATTATATTATATCTAACTTTGACAAATCCTCTTATTTTTTCATTTGTTTTTTGTTTTTCTATACTACAAAGTTTAGTAAATAAAATATTCCAGACTGCTTTGATCTAAGTATCTTTTTTTTTATTAGCTATGAGTGCTTGCTGCAGGTCTTTATCTCTCTTTTTCTGATTATATTTATATAGACTAATCTAAACTCATCTAGGACTAGTAAGTTTTTGTTTTGCTTTTGTTTTCTTAAAAGTTGCTTAGTGTTTTAATATTTTTCTAAAGCTCAGCTTCTTTACTACTCTGCTCTTTCTTGCTAATGTTATTTAGTACTATATACTTTTTTTTCTTTAACAATTATTTATTAGCTAATTTAATAATTGGCTTCTTAATTATCTCTTATAGTTTGTCTATATTATCTTGGCTAATTCTCTTTCTTTCTTGTTTATTATTGATTTTTTTGTCTAGTGCTTCTCTAAAGTTTTGCTAGTTTTCTGCTATTGCATTCTCAATATCAATATTGAGTCTTTTTTGTTTTTTTGCATATTTTTGTTTGTTTTGCTAATATGCTATACTATTCAATATCTGTTATAATTTTTGCTACCACTATATCATAATTACTATTTGTAATATATGATATATCAAGAATGCTACTAGAAGACTTTGTCACTATATAAGTTACTTAGCCAAATAAAGTCTATTCACAATGTTTATTGCTTCTTCTTTATATAACCACTATTGCTTTAGAATTAAGTACTCTATATATATTTTTGAAGTTGTGCAATTCAAGTGCTTTTATTAATTTTGTTTGGCTTTTGGCCCTAGTTTTAGCTTTGCCTTTTCTGTCTTTCTTACCTTCTACAGCTTGGTTTAAATCTCTCAATACTATATAATGTCTTGGTTTTTTCCTTATCTGTTCTTTTATTTTGTTTTTGAAGATATTAAGAGTTTCTTTTCTAAACTAGAATTGTTTGAGGCTTGATAGAATACTATAATTTCTATATCTATTTGTTTGAAAGTAGAAAGTACTTCTAGGTAGTATAGATTGTGGCTCTTAGCTTTTGTTCTATATCTTGCTTACTTTCCTCTTATTATTATACTTACTTTTGATCTTTTGTTTTTATCTTCTTCTGTTTCTAACTAAAAAAAATTAGAGGTTCTTGTATTTTTTAATTATAACCTTTCTCTCTTTTTGTCCTATATTTGTTTCACATAACTCAACTAAGTCTAAATTAAACTCTTTTAAGAGATCTACCAAAAGATTTAATTTTGTAGTTTTTGTTTAATATTATATATTTCTATATACAATATTTCTAAATTGATCTTGACTCCTTTGCTTTTTGTGTTACTATCTGCTTGTAGCACTTCTGTTTTTGTTAAGAGACTCTTGATGTCTTTTAGAAGTGATTTGGGGTATTACCTCACTGTTTTTTTTTTTAATCACTATTAGTCTTTGTAGTATTTTCTCAATTAGTCTTGTTTGAAGTTTTAACTCTTTTTTGTCTATTTGGCTTTTTGGGTATGATATGTAGCTTATAGAGCTTCTTCTTTTTTTCATAGCTTTTTCTTTTCTTTTTGCTTGCTAAGTATTTGATTCAGCATTTTCTTTGCTGCTTTCTTAATTAAGAATCTGACTATCATTCTCTTTGAATTGTCTTTTTACTAGCTTCTTTTAGCCCTGAATATAGCTTTTTTGTTCTGGTTTTTTCTGTTCTGCTTTTGCTTACTCAGCTTGCTACTATAGTAGTATATTTTTTTACTTTGAGCTCTTTCTTAATTACTTTCTAACTTAAGATATATTGTGCAACTTCTTACTAATTTCTATTATGATTAGATAATATGTATACTGCTTTTATCTTAATACTTTTGAGTTGTCTTAGAAGAGCTAACTTGACTGCTGTTTTTAAAATTTTTTTTGCAATAAACTTGAAATGCTTTTTTCTACTAGCATGTGTTTGTCAAAGATTTTTGGCATCACTCTATTAGTTTGCTTTCTTCAAAGTAAGTGTCTAGGCCTTTTTTAAAGCTAATATTTGTATTATCTTCAGTTTTGACTTCAACAAGTATAGCTTTGGATTTGCTATTAGCTATAAAGCTTTTTACTACTGTCTTTCTATAGTAATTCAAATACCTTCTTATTTAAGTTACTCTTGTGTTATTAAGAATATT